TCTGTGCCTGAAGCACTTGGGGCTGTGCCTGCAGCACTTGCTGTTGAGCAGATGAATCCGAGTCACTCTCATTGTCTTGAGGGCTAGGGATGCTGGGTGATGTGCTCCGGTTGTCCTGGTCAATGTCCTTGGGATCACTGCTCCCTTCGTCATTGACGCTGCGGCTGGCGGGGCTCTCACCTTCACCCTCGCCCTCTGAGGGAGAGTTTGGCCTGCTGATCTCCTGCAGGGAGAGTGGGAAGAATAACCACCGTGCACGAGAAAACCGCACAAAGAGCATTAACCAGCATGCCACAGGATGCCACCTATTACTCATGCTGTGCAAACGCAAGTGCAAGTGCCACCCTTTGAACCTCACGTGACTTAAAACAGCAGAGGCAACACAAATATCCAAAGGGAGGGTGCAAAGACAACAGAGCCAGGCTCTTTTTAGTAGTGTCCAGTGGCAACGGGCACCAAGTGAAATACAGGACGTTGTGCCTGAACATAATGAAACACTTTTTCACTATGAGGGTGACCAAGCAATGGGACAGGTTGCCCAGAGAGGCTGTGGACTCTCCGTCTTTGGAGATATTCAAAAGCCTTCTAGCCATGGTCCTGGGCAGTTGGCTCTAGGAGGCCCTGCTTGAGCATAGGGGGTGGACTAGAGGACCTCCAGGTCCCTTCCAACCTCAGCCATTCTGTGATTCCGTAATATGGAAAGCTCAGTGCCAAAATTCCCAAATCCTGTGTACAGAGTGAACCTGGTCAGGCACACAGAGCTGAAAAGGCATCCTAAAAGTATTTCAGTTGAACTTTGACACCATTAAATTAAGAGAACTCCAGTAGTAGTCTTCTAACTTGCCACAGAAGAGGAAAAAGCAAATTTCTATTAAAAAAATTTTGAGGGTGGTGGTGGTGGAGGAAAATAATCCAAGTGTACTCCTATATGGTTGATATCGATATTAAAACAAAACCAAAAAAAAGATGTCTGAACTTACCCCATATCATTCCACTGTTTTTCAACAGAAGGAACACATTATAATATGGGTTGCTTTCCAGCTGCAGATTAAGTTACAATTTGCTGTGGCTTGAACTGATTTCACATTTTTGGTTTGTTACTGGGTTTGCACCCCCTCCCACTCTCAAACCATTCTCCTAAGAGAAAATATTCCTCTGTGGGACTCACTTGAGTTTTGGATTTTTTGGCATTGGACCTGTCAGGTTCCTCTGTGTCAGAAGCTGCCTTTTCCCGCTGCCTTTTGGAGTTCTTGAGAGGAGAAGATACCTCTTCTTTTATCTTCTGCCACAAATGAAGCAGAACACAACAGTTACCAGTGGTATAAACACAAAAATAAATTGATCGTATGCCAGTGCTACCACATTTAATACAAACAAACAAGAAGGGTTCCTATGGAGCAGGAGAACTGATCAGAATTTGAGTATTTAACAACAATCCCATATGCATCTGTCGCTCTGTCCAATTACAGGTTGCAGGGGAATCTGTTCTGGAGCTGCTGCTGTATTCCGCCATCTGCCAGGAGCAGGTCCCGGAAGACTCGCATCTACATAATGCTCTAGCCACTCCCTCTGGAGGTCAAATTTAAGACAGAACCCAAAACAGACTGCAGTTTTACTTCTGCAGACAGAACCCAAGAGGCAGCTTGCACACAAGCCCTGCACACAGTTCTGACACAAGCTAGCAGGAAAAAGGATGTCGACTAAAGCATTCCTCATCACGCAGATGTGGTCTCGAGCTTTGAAAGTGAAGGACTATTCTAAATAAAGCCGCTGGCTTTCCACCTTCAGCCGTGCACAATCAAGTCCCTCAGGAACTCGCACCAGATCAACCGGCCCAGTGTACTCTTCTAATGGAGACCAACACCAGTTGTGAACAGGGGACGGAGCAGGAATTTCTGCAGTAGACAGGCCCAGGATAAGCCTCTTTCTACTACATGAAAGTCTTGCTTTACTCCTGATATTCTGAGAGGGCTATTTTTATACCCTCTCAAATACAGGGCTAACAGTGAGTAGCTATTACAAGATTACTACCTTCTTCTTTCATGGCCTGGGACAGCTTTATACATCACATAATTACCTAACCTAGCTTCAAATTTTGCTAAGTTCTCAGTTTTATCATGCAAAAACTTGCTCCATACTCCAGTTGTGACTTGGTTTTTTTTCCAAAAAAATATTTCTTTTTAACTTGCTACTTTTCAATTTACACTGCTTAATGGCAAGCCTTCCCACTTCATCTGGCTTTGTTTCTTCAGTACTCTCTTGGAAAGGCACTTATTCATTTAAACAGACTAAACTGTCAGCTTGCTCTGAAAAATCAAGCAAATATACATACAGAAAAACAGTAAGAGAAGTAGTCTCAATTACTACATATCCATATTCCTTTGTAAACAAAGATTAACTACTGCTTAAAAAAAAAAAAATCCCCAAAACTGTCTACTTGTCTCAAATAGAGCATTTCTGATCTGTATTACTTCCATGAGCCTGATGCTTGCATTTGCATCTGAAATCGAAGGATTAATTTATCATGAGAGCAGTAAGGTTATGTGGGGATACTTTAATGTTTTTCATCAGTACACATCCTTATGTAGAGGAACAAAGCATCAGTCAGAGGCACCATTAAATTTTTTGCTTATCCACACAAGTAGGAATTTCTAGGTCACTGAGAGATTCCCTGGCCTCCTAGAATCTGCATCTCATTTAGCTGACTGAAGAGGCCTCAGGTGTCCAGTCCTAACACAAAAGGAGAACAGGAAAATTTTACCTTGGTAGACTTCTTCACGGAATCTGCTTTGCTGTCATTACTGGAGGTGCTGGCAGCGCTAGGAGAGTTGCGGCCACTAGAACGGATGTCTTCATTAATAGGTGAGGCTCTACCATCAGGGCTGGCTGGCTGCTTCTTACGACCACTACGTAGTGTAGACATCTATTTGTTTAACAGAAATAAAAGTGTATCCAAGTCAGCATTTGTCCAACCTCTTTACTTTTTTCTGTCTTACATCAGGGGCATAGATGGACCGCTCCTGCTAAGAGCTTGAAAAACGAAAAACCAAGAGCATTTAACAGTGTAACTGTTTTTCCTTGAAAGCTCATCTGGACTTAAAAGTAAAAGGAGGCAAATCCTTAATTTGCCTACTCAAAAACATTAAGTGCTGATTATTTTATTTAGTAGCATCTGCTAGAAATGACAACATTAGAAAGATGTTCCAAAGCTGCTGCTGTTTGCATGCTAAATATTCTTCATAAAACACACACACGCACACTTGTAAGCGTGCATACACACACAGTGCATGAGGTAGGAGGGACCCTCATGTGCCATTAAAAAATAATAATAAAAAAAAATAATAATAAAAAAAATCTATCTGTTGGCATTCAAGCCATCAAGACCAGTTTCTAAAACTAGTTTCAATGTGCTCCTACTATTCACTAAGGAATTACAGTAGAGTATATTTCAATAACACATGCGGTTTTCCTCCCAGTTTGGCAGATTTTGGTTGACTGGCTACCACAAAAACAACGAAGCCAACCTTACCTGACAGTGTAGCCTCACAAGATATTTAGAAGCAATGGTCATATCATGATCAAAAAGATGGAGAGGGGAGGGCAAGGAAAAGAAATATATCTGCTGCTTTCTATCAGCCAAAACCCAAAGCAAACATCAAAATTAACTAGAGCTGCTGTCAGAGTTCTCACAAGCAATCTGCGCACAGCAAGGCTCCCGGCATTTCACCCCCGAGTAAAAACTCTGTGACAGAGCACGCTGACCGTAGGTGCAAGCTACAGTTTTCTGTAGGGAAGAGATTTTAACTCCAGTAATATAAGGAGACCACGTGAATAGCATTTAATTTTTTAAAACTCTTCCTTTAAAATAAGCCCAAAGGCTTACCTCTGACAGGATCCAGCTGGAAGTCGGACACATACTAGTACAAAATCTGTAATGATACACTGGTCAAGTGCCCCCTCAGGATGACAGCCCACTGCCAGTCATTAACAACGTGAAAATAAGTTTGACTAGAACTTGCAGAAGAGACATTTCAGCTCCTTTTTCCAAAGAAAGCCTCAACCTCAGCAAATCTGACACTTGGATACACAAATGCAGCAGCGGGCACATACCATGGCAAACAAGCAAGATGCAGAAAGCATCATTTTGGAAGTTTGACTACCTTTTTCCAGACAACACCTCGTCTTTACAGAAGAAGCTGCAACGCAAGAGTGTTAAGCCTACCGAGCCTCGACTCCGCCTTGTCCTCATGCTATGCTTTCCACTAAGTCCATCATCTTCCTCTTTGACAGGCTTAAACATAAAGGGTGGAGGATCTACAGGCTTCTCAATGGGTGGCAGCTCTCCGTATTTTTTGAAGTGAATGCGACAATCGGTGCACAATAAAATGTTTTCTCGACCACCGTGGTGCCAGTCCTTCGAGGCTTGGGGCAGGAAAAGCAAGAGCTTAGAAATACACAATGTACCAGATACTCAGCACAAACACATTGCATTATTAAAAAACCACAAAACAACTAGAGAAGTAGTTGCTTTTCTGTGGGCAACGAAGTTGGAGAAATTTCTGGAAAACTCTGTCCTGTTCCAGGCTGTCTGTGTTCCAGTGCACATCTTCAATATTCAATTTACAAACTATTAATTTACTTAAGCATCTACAGCTTTGAAAACAAAGAAAGAAGCCTTATCTGCTCTACCTGGGAGCTAACAGGCAGCTGCTATTCTCCAAATTTGTGGCTTCTTAAAGTGAAGTGAGCTATGAACTTCTCATTTCCTTCCCTTCCCTATTCTGGGGCTCACACTTCCATGCATATGCCCAAATATCAGACAACCTTCAGGAATACCTACAGAAATGAGGCTGCTGCAGAAGAGATTTGGCGCAGCGTAAAGAAGTTTTGTGTGTGACAGTCACAGTCCAATACTGATTTCCTGTATCACAAATGGATTATATAGATTACGGATTATGTAGATTTTTTCCCTGTATAAATGTCTACCTCTCATAATTTGCCTTTGTCACTGCAATATTAATTTGCAATGGCAAAGCATGATTAACTCTGCTAGAGAGTGCTACATATTTCAGCTGATTCAACCCCACATTTTTTTTTGAACAGCTGTACGTGCACACGAACTGCTCTTGCTTGAATGAACCTGCATTAAATAGGCAGTAGCAGAAGGAAAAGAAATACAGCAATGAATCAGGTGCATACTGGTTGTGAAGCAGTGACGACAGGCGTAGCCCTTCAGTTCCTGTTCACTGTCTTCGCTGTCAAAGTCATCTTCGCTGGCCGAGCTCAAGTCCACTGAATAAGTAAAGAACAAGGGAAGAAGAGGAAAATGGAATCAGCAGGATTTTCCATTTCCTCCTACTTGGAGAAAATAACCATTAATAATAATAACTCTCACATAAACTTTGTGATTTCCTACAACCACCTTGCCTTGGATGGCCATTATTTCCAATTTGCAAACTAAGCAAGACCAGACCTGATCAGTCTACAGATAAAAGGAGGATACCAGGAATGCACCAAGTGATACGGCTCACAGAACTTTTGATTCAGTACGTGGTAGTTTTCCAATTAAGTTCTTGTTCAAATACTGTTCATGCTTGGTTAGAGAGGCTGTGTGCCAAAAGCACAATTTTCAAGAGAAAGGAGGTTTATATCTCTAGAACCTGGTCAAATTTGAAATCAAATATTCTATACCTAAATCCTACTCTACCAGATTCCATGGACAGATACTGTGGTGGCTTTTCTGGTTTTTATTTTGTTTCTACACTTCATCTTCTAAACCAGATCGGGACCGCTGCTATGCTCTGTTAGACAGTGGCTATATTTAACCCAAGAGCTAGATATGTTCTGTGGGTGGAAGAAACGATGCTGGCATATAATGTACCTATTCGAAAAACATGTTGTGATTATTTTGGATGACAGGTACTACAAGGATACTACCAGCTTTCCAATTCTTACTGCAAGCCTCCATAGAGTTTTAACTTGTGGCAAACTCACGTTTCAAGAATGTCACGTCTCGAAGAAGTGGAGAATATGGAAAGGGTCACTTTCCTTTGTGGCAAGCAGTATATAGCAAATCAGCCGATTACAAGGCTCTGAGCTAAAAAGCACCATCTAAACCACTGAAAATCTGCAGACATCACAAAAATTCTATCTTACCTCATCTTCTAAAACAACTCAGGAGTAAACCCTTTCTTATTGAGAGTACTGCATTTTTCTAGCACCACCACTATAAATTCACAACATAACAGGTCTGTAATTTGTCACAAGCAGAAAGCCCTGCGGCTTCTTTTGTTCACATCTTTAATTAGAAAAGAAGTCCTTGGTGCAAGAATACTGTTTTTCTAAAGGTTCCAAGAAGATATTTTGCAATACATGCATGTTATAGAGAGGGAGGGATTCTACAGTACTTGCCATTAGTGTTTGTCATCAACTCATTACCCTTCAAATTAACACAGGGCACTACCATAATTTCTACGTTAATTCTTACAGGTGTTTAAGCCCCGATTCTTGCAGGTGTTTAAGCCCTGACTGCAAAATTGACACCAGGCTATAACTTGCTTTCTTTCACTAAATTGATTTTTATTCTCATCCTGCAGTTGGATCCATATGGATGGGTCCTTCCAGCCACATGCACTCCGAAGTGCTGAGTATCTTGGAGCGAGCTGTACAGTCAAGATCCTCCCTTCTTGTGCATGCAGAAACCAGCAATGAATCCTGAATTTCAGCAAGGAGAAGCTAATAGTCCTTTATTATTACCCAACACCCTCTCCAGAATTCTCTGCCCTGCCTGCTCACCACATCCTCTACCTCCCCAATATCGACAAGATTCTGCCCATTTCTGCCTTCCACATAGTCTCTTTTCTTTAGAAGGCATGTGAAATGTGCTGGGTTTAGTCCATTGAAAGACTTAAAACTCACAGGGTAGCGTAAGCCTTTACGTAAGGATAAAAGTCTATACACCCATACGGACATTACTAATCGTAACCCTTTGCAACGCAGTACGTTTCACTGGGTTCGGTAATTATTCTTTGTTTAGACACTTCTGCTTCAGTCAAGGCCAAAGCTCTTCCAAGATGCATTAAGATACAAGAGTGCTGGCTGCAGCACAGTCTGAGATGAAGCAGAAGGTATGGGTCACCAAGTAAGGATGAAAGGGACTTCCTTCCGGAGGGATGAAGGACTTCCTTCTTTTTGCATTTTCTAATTCCCATTACTGTAATAAGCCTGGAGAAAATACAACACAAACCCAAGCAAAGATTAGGGAAAGTCAGTACCAGGGCAATGTTTCCATCCTTACAGGATGCTTTTATGTTTAAAAACTGCACAAAGCACTTGGTGATCAAAGACGCCTACTGCATTCCAGCATAATGGTGTAGGAACAGGAGAGGGCAACTGCCTGAACTCCATTTCCTTGCTTCATTCACTTGAAGGTACAGCACCATTACATTACTGTTGCTCCCTGAATCTAAACAAAGATAAATGCATTGCTTTTAGCTTCCACTTACAGAATTCACTGGAGGGGGGCCTGGAGGGAGTGTTGACTGGAGTGGAAGCAGTTCGAGTTTTAATTCTCCGAAACACAGCCTGTCTTCGATGCCTACGGTGGGCTCGAGAACTTGCTGCTTCAGGGGTTTTCTTCCAATAGTAATAGAAGGTGATTAGTTCTCCCTGCAAATACAGAAGGAGTATGTTAGAGGGGCATGCAAATCTGTCTTGTCAGCCTTTTTCCTCCCTTTTGCTCTCTGTATGCGTGCACATGTGTTTTTGTAGGAAGCTTCATGATGTATTGCAGCCAGACAAAAGAATTCTTTAGATAAGACAGGAGAAAAAAAAAAAAAAAAACCCTCATTATTTTTTGTTTGCTTTTGCAGGGGATGAACAGAAGTAAATAAATGCCTTCTCGCTCCTCTCCTCCCCCACTAGAGAAGAGAAGAGGTTGGGTAGCAGGGACCCAGCTTCCGCCTGGCTGCTGCTGGCACCGCTGGCCTCAGCAGTTGGGAAGAGGGGGCCCTTGCCCCGCTGCCAGCACCCCGCGGGCACCGCCGCACAGCTCAGGAGGCACGGCATCCCCAGAGGGCCTGCCCTTCCGCGAGTCCTCGCAACAAAACTGGTAACTGCTAAGAATTCTCTGGAGTTTACAGAGAGAGTAAGGATCGATTCAAACGGATACTGCCATTTTGTCAACCTACGTTCTGCGTACAGGTATTTTTAAATATTCCTGCCTAAGAAGCTGAAAGTTAGAATAAGCACATGTTCAATGAGAAGTCTATAACCATAACTCAACCCTGCTACAGTAAATCGTGTTTTAATTTGAATATATATGCCCACATCTAAATTAATGAAGCAGTTAAAAGAGCACACCTAGAGAAATGAGTGATAATTTCACAGCATAATGAATCTGGCTTACATTCAAAAACTGGAGCAGCTGCCATTCAAACCAGCGGATGTAATGCCGAACTAAAGAACAGCATGTGGTTTTAATCTCTTTTCTCTTACTTTGAAACCCCGCCATTTCCTGGCGACTTGTCTGCCTCTAAGGTAAAAGGTGTTGTTTCTTTCAAGTTGCAAGAGAAAAACGGAGAAGTTCTAACCAGCCCCTTGAAAAATCAACATCAGAACAAACATACCTGAATTGCCCACAAAAAGGGTTTCTTTGAACTGCATTTTATGTGATCAAATAACATAACCTCAGCCTGCTCCCTCTGTGGGGAAATCCTACAGCCTATGCTCAGGGCAGATCACGCAAGTTAACTCTAATAAAGACACACCCTTAATCCAAACTCTCCCAAGGGCCTCAAACAAGCAATTACAGCCATAACTAACATCTGTACCACAGAAACACTTGAAAGACAAAAGGAGGATGCTGTTCTAGACATTAACTGCTGACATTTAAGACACTTAAGGATTTTACCAATGCCTAATTTAAAAATAGAAACACCAGAAAAAGAACACAACCACAACTTGGATTTCTGGCAATAGGCAGAATAGATGCGTTTTTAATCTGCACTGCTACAGACTGGGATCGATGCTACTGATCTCCACCGCAGACCCCAACAGAATTCACACCAAATGTATTCAGAACGATACTTGGTTAGGAGGAGGAAGGATTAAGTGCGCAAAATTAATCGTTACTTACAGTTGTTAATTCTGAAGGACAAAAGCCCTACTAAAAAAACCCCAAAACCAAACCAAAGAAAACCAACAACCCCCCCCCCCCCACCAACCCCCCCTTCCCTACAGAAATTCCG